CTGTTCAGTGTACTTGTTGTGTGGTAGAGAGATAAACATTTTCCCTAAAACCCAGGTTCATGATTCCTCTAAAGATGGAAAATTTCGTAAGTAATTACAATAGTGGTAAAATTTATCTACTCTCTCTCTCTCTCTCTCTCTCTCTCTCTATATATATATATATATATATATATATATATATATATATATATATATATATATATATATATATATATATATATATATAGTTTACATCTCTAAGCTAATTACATTAACACAATGGGGTTTCGTGGAGATTTTAGTAATTTTATATACTTAAGATCATTAGTCAATTGAAGCTAGACCATCATGGAAAACCTGGAAGCACTGGACGACCGTTTCATCCTATTGTGTGACTCCTCAGCAGTGCGTATCCACGATTCCCTTTCCTGTTATTATCCAATCTTAAACAATAGATCTTCCTTTATATTCTTTAATTTTCATTTAATCATCATAATCATTGGTGATCATTACCTAATTAATCAATAATTGATTAATCTCACATTTCACTAATCAATCATTCATGGTTATATTTACACTTCTCATTTTTGATTTGTTTCATTTATGTTTAATATTACACGAAATAGTTTTGCTTATTGATTTTCTAACGTTCTTTGGTATCTTTTTTTTTTTTTTTAGCTGACCATATGTTAATCAATTAATTAAGTGTTTTGATTTAGCTTTTGGGCAAAATTTGTTTAATAAATTAACCAATAACTGATTATTGATTGATTTATCCTATGTTTAATATACTGATAATGTGTGAATATGAAATCTAACGTGTTACCGAAATGAATCCACTAAATTTTCACCATTCATTTATACTTTTCAGCTGACTGATAATTTAAAAGGTTGAACTAAACATTCTCAAGCATATTATTCTTACCACTTTTTAAAAATATTAAATGAAATACCCTGTTTTCCTTGTTTCCCACATTGTCCGGACATTCCATGTGCCTATAAAGAGTGTTGCTCTGATTGTTAGAAGGTGCATCGGCTTCGTGACTTCCGAAAAATTTCGGCTTTCATCATGAGACGTCATAATTATTCATTCAACTCCCAAGGCAGAGTTTTTTTTTCTGGTTAGCGTTTTTTTTAGCGAGTTAGTTTTTCTACGGGATGGGGTCGCTAACCCCATGCCCAACCCTCCTCCTTTACCCGGGCTTCGGACCGGCAGTAACTCTATAAGAGCTACAGGCGGAGTTGAAATACCCTGTATGTATGTATAAACATGGAATAAGCTACTTATATACAATATGGCTTTCTAACGGGGAATACTACCTGAAGATCAATGGAAATCTACTTGTCAGTATAAGAGGTCTATGACCACTGTTAAATTTTATGGTTTAATTCACGGAATGATTTTGGTTAGACCAACTATCATTGAAAATTAGGAAACATTGCAAAGCTGTTTTATTCTAGAATGCAATTCAGCTATTACTTACTTTTTTTCTGGTTAGTGTTTTTTAGCGAGTTATTTTTCTACGGGATGGGGTCGCTAACCCCATGCCCAATCCTCCTTTACCCGGGCTTGGGACCGGCAGTAACTCTAGAAGAGCTACATGTGTTATACCCATTCAAAAGTTCCACAAGAGACTTAACACAGGATTTTAATATTCCATTGTGAACGGTTACTCTTTAAACTATGAAGTTCGCAGTCAATTGTTTATATTTCGAACTTCAATCAATTCGCGATATTTCGTAACTATATTCCTATGTCATTGGTGCTTAGCTACCTCTGACGCTAGTGAATTTCATCTATGTCGGATATGAAGCAGTTACCCACTGATACATTGCATGATGGTTGCAGAACATCATGGATTAATTAAAGCTAAACATGTAAACCAACTCAGTAAATCAAGTGTTAAGTGTTCACCACAAGATATGAAAAATCTGAATCTGATCCTCTGTGGGATTGTAAATGCCTATCACTGAGGTGGAGTCTCATACTATACTGAAATAGCTATCTAATTCTTCTTGAATGTCAATAGTGGATTAACTAAGCCCAGTTCATGATGAAAACTGGGAGATCCAATTTATAGGGAACCTTAAATGTCGGTGACTTTTCCCTGCATTGTAAAGCTATATTGGTTTGTTTTAAATAATCATAAAACCTTAAAATAGCTTAATAATATACAACTTTGATCAAGTAAGTCATGTGAATGAATAACCGTAAAGGGATAACTGACTGCTTATTACGTAATGTTGAGAATAATTAAATTATGATCAATAATGTTTTTGTTTGTTCAAAGGATTATCTTAAGATTAGTTAGTGTACATAGAACTCATCTTAAATAAAGTAAGGAGTATAAGCATATTGCATTTAATTGTGTAAGTGTACTGTAATATGTGTTCCTCATTAAATTTTCATTCTCTTCAAACGGTTACATAAATGAATAGGTTCAATTAGATTATAAAAACTAATAAAACTGTAATTTAGTAACTAAAGCACTCAGCTTTCTATTAATAAGTTTGAGAGTTAAGTTTTCGGGCACCTAGACAGTGATGATACCAAGACCCCATACACAATGTACATAAAGCTGTGCTTGATAAATGAGTTAGTTATATTACTTCTCATTACTGCAGTAAATTTCGTTTAATCTCTATGTGTCTCTGTGTGTATGTGTTCGTATTCTAACGGCTGATTTATTTGTATTCACAATAATTTTCTATCTGATTTGCATTTTTCCATAACATTCCTTTCACTATTCATATGTAATAAGTAGTATGTTTTAACGATATATATGTGTTGGAGTTGTTGAAATCGTTAAAAAAACTTCGAAAAGGATCTCTATTCTAGTGACACGTGTTGGTAGGTACACAATAAAAAAGCGTTATACTTTTCATAATATCTACTCTTGTAGGCTAAAAACTTTGTTTAATTTAGTGAAACAATGCGGTATATGTGTTTTCGCTCCTAAATGGCCTGATAGATGTAAGGATCCGTTCTCTGTCTCGACACTCTCTCAAATAGCCGCACATTTATAGCCTGTCCCAGCGTTGTCCTACTCTGTATCTCCTCGTAGTGGAGGTGTTGTTTACGAAAGTGACATGACAAATAGCGAACGTTCAACGCTGAAATCGGACTGATAGCTATGCTAAATCCACCTAGTGAAGTTTGAAAGTCCTGATTCCGAACCAAGGATATAAATAAGCTATAGGATCCTATGGGAGCGAATATTATGTGAATCTATTTCGGTTACTGGCTTCTATCCCACGACATATCCAGATATCGCTTCACTGCATTGTGAATTAGACCCTTGAGGTCAAAGGCCTAGGGAATGGCTTCCTTAAAAAAAACCATTTACTCCAATTCGGGCTCTAGGGTAGTATATTTTAGCTCATACACAAATTTACGAAATTGAGAGGACGAAAAGCGAATTTCCAGCACGCAAACCGGGTTGGTGGACACGGAGGGTCCACCTAGGGGAGTTGGAAAGCCCTCATTCCAAACCAATGGTGCACATGGGCTCCAGAATCCTGATGGAACAAATGGCGTTTAAATCAATCATTGTTCACCGGCTACCATGGGACTGCATCTCCTCACGATGCCTTGTGGATCAGACCTTTAGGTCAAAAGCCTCCGGATGTGGTCCCCTAAGAAAACCACCTGCTTTAGTTTGGGCACCTGGGCTGTATCATAGTCCCCACACAATTAAATGAAATGACAATTTTTTGTATGGCGCATATATATCTGGTGCCCCTTTGTACCAATATTTATGTGTTGATGTAAATAAAATAATAAAAGTAATCACAGGATTATTCAACTTTTGTAAATCAATGTTAAAGTAACAGTAACCGCGAGTGCTTTTTTTCTCTCATACAATTCTTCACATGATCTTTACCTTTTTCTAATCTCTTCTCATTACTTTTAATCCGCTAATCTTCTGTGTTCTATTGGATCACACTTTAGATACTATCTATACTTAGTTGTTCTATTCAAATCACGTTTTTTATACCCATCATCTTTTTCCTTATGTTAACGACTATTTGTTAAACAGTGTCTATTATATTCTAACTGCCGTTATTGATTTGCACAATAATATCTTATTCGTATTAGAATAATTCAATTGTTCCTTAATTTTTGCAAAATATCCTACACATGTACCGAATCTCAAATGTCAAGTTATTGGGTTTTTTTTTCCTTTCACGAAACATTAACAACTAACGTTACAAAATGAAGGGAATTCATATGCCATTAAACCTTTCACTTACAAGCAATGATTTTTATAATTTTGTACGTCACACATGAAAAAGGAGTTATATAAGTTATCTAGGGAAAAATACCTACTACCTACTTTTATATACGTTGAGATATTCCATTTTGTAGAATGAATCATGACCTGGTTTTAGTTAGATCACTAGTAAAAATTAGAAAGCATTAAATAGCTGTCTATTTCCCACTATTAAACTCCTCTGTAATGCACATCCACCGAGATTCTGGGTTTGTTTAATTAATTATTTATTTAAGCACATAAATATTGGTACAAATGGGAACCAAATACATATGCGCCGCACAAATCTCATTTGATTTGTGTGAGGGCTGTGATACTACCCAGGTGCCCAAACTGAAGCAGGTGGTTTTCTTAGAGAACCACACTCCGAGCCTTTGACCTAAACGTCTGATCCACAAGGCAGTGAAGCATCGTAAGGAGATGCAGTCCCATAGTAGCCGGTGACCAACGATTGATTCATACGCCATCTGTTCCCTCAGGATACTGGAGTCCGCCCATGCTCACCATTTGTTTGGAATGAAGGTTTTCGAAGTCCCCTAGGTTTGATCCCCTATCGTTGTTTTGTGAATGTACACTGTTGATAAATCTCATGCTATCACTTAATCGCTGTTCAATGATCCTAATATTCACTAATGGTTTGGTTGAATTCTGTCTGTTATTTAACAATCTCCATAAAACCCCATATACTGCTAATATCACATTTTAATTTGTCAATTGTCTATGTTAGTGTTTTTGTTGTTGTTATAGTTACATCAGTGCACTTGCCGATCGGGTTACTGTTATATTCAGTACTGTTTTCAAAGAATCTGATGATCTAATTATTGCTAAAGTATTTTTACAGGTAAATATTAGATGTTTTTCATTGATTATTATTACTATTACGTGTCAAATGAATTTTTTCAGTCTATCGATTAATCCGTCATTATCTGATCATGTGATCAGATGATCATGATCTTTTTCAAAAAAAAAAACCCCTACTAATTACTTACAATGATCCGTTGTTAAAATTATCATTGAAATCATTTCTGTTGTTTTATTGTTTTATATTTATACTACACTATGCAATTTGTAAACTGAATACAATAACACAAAAGATCCAGAATATAAATATACACTATTCTAATTAATAAAACTTACTAATTCAAATTCCAGACTATTAAGAGGATAATACCTGGTTATTCATAGAGAATGTTGATGTGTCTTTATGATTCAAGTACTAAAGATATGAGTTTTAGAAGTTGAATTTAAATTTACACATCAATTGTTTGAAAATTTCAAAATGATATTCTGTATTGATTCAGATTGAATGTTATACTTCTCAACCTTCAATGATGTAACTAAATAACCAAGTATAAATTCATGTTCTCTGATTCGAGCTGTACTTTATCATTATTATTAATGGCTTTATTCAATATTATAATCTGGTACAATATAGAATTTTCAGCACGAGTTATTTCAACAAGTTTTTTTACCAAGACAAAAAAAACAGAAAAGAAATGAAAAAAAGGTTTAAAAAAAATCTGAGTCTGTATAAATTATCAAATTTAAGACATGCTTAAGAATACAGGTTATTTACTAGGTCAACTCTAACAAAGGTTAACGTTTACAAACGTAGCTACTGCGCCACCACAAGTCTTTTTATTGTTTGATCGATCCTGACAATAGATATTGAAATCATGTAATGATACTAAGCAATCGTCCTGTAAGTCAGTTAACCAAGATTCTTGAATTGTGATGACACCACAATTACGATACATGTTTTGACTTAGTAGAAATTGGAGATAGTCCACCTTGTTAATTAGAGATCGACAATTAGAATTAAGCAGCTCTGGAATCGACATTTGATTAATGTTCATTCTCTTTAATGCATATTGCCAACCACCACGATGTCTCTTATTGTACTTGTTTGTGATTTTTGCAGCGAAAGGACGTAAGCTTTTCATAAACACGCCTGTATACGTTATGCGATTAATAGACATAATGATAGGTTAAAACAAATTAAAAAAAACTCAGATAACTTGTTGAAATATTTAGATGGTAGAAACAGGTAGCCCAGGGATTCAAGCAGGCCGCCACAAGAATGTATGTATGTGGGTATGTGAAACGGTTAGTGATACTATCCACTTTTATCCAGATCAAATCATGTAAAATCAGTGTTAAAGTGTGCAACCCGATAGCGGTAGTGTATCCACTATTCTATCTCTCTAGTTTATGAAACGGAATCGAAATTTGTTATAAATGAAAGATTATTCAGTGTAATGTAGTTAGAATATTTATATACAAAGTATATGTATATGTTCAGAGTCGCCTGTTTATGCTATTTTAGTTCTAGTCCAGTTAATCATTCAATATATAAGTTAGTTAGATCCAGATTAATGGTAAAATTCTAGTTCATGTAATCATCATCTTGATCTTGGGTAATTTACACATAATGTTATTAAACTATGTGATTCATTTACCATCATATACATAGACTAGTTAGTTAGGTTCTGAAACTCGACCTAAGTTTAATGTAACCACATGACCATTTATGGACAAGATCAGAGTGCTGTATTAATAAGACCACCTTATCAGATTGTTATTGTCGAGGAGTAATGGAATACTGTTTACAATATCATTTTCTCAAGTTGATTTTGACATAAAATGAAAATTCAGTGTAACTATTCAGTTATAAATAAAATATGACTTCACTATGCATTGTTCTAAATTATCATCAATTCAAATAAACATAGCAAAAAGAAAATTAACAAGATGAAAAATACAAGTTGATATAATGATGACAATATTGGAGTGGACTCTACTCTCCAAATTGTTTATAAGTAGTGTGTAGCAGTATGTGGCGTCAAAGTTGCAACAATTGTCAGACGAATTGAAGAGTTTCAGGGTATCGAAAGCATGGTGTCGGCAGAACATTTGGAGACCAAACGAGAAGACATTTCAGATGTAAAAACACACTGAAAGATACAAATGGACGATTGTAAGCTATGTATATGTATGACACATGACGCCGTAACTCTATATTACTAACATAGTGTTGCCACTGTATGTCAGCCGTCCTTTGGAGAAAACGATGATTAGACACACAGAGTCGTCTAACGTCCTCAACTCGGAGACGCCAAGTTTCACAGGCATAGAGTAAAACTGCTCTTACTGACGCATTGTATATCCGACATTTTACAACCAAACTACAGTCAAGAAGTTGCCAAAGATGGCTAATATTAGAATAAGCCGCTGTGGCTTTCACTATACGTAAATTAATTTCACCACTTACGCCACCACCATCATATATGCAGCCACCCAGATATACGAACTTCTATCTGCTCACTACCCAGATTGAGTTCAGGATCCCCCCAGTCTTGTAAGAGTACTTTGCACTTGAAGGGTGCAGAACATATACCATACCTGCGAACTAATTAAGTGAGTATTGCATGGCTTGAGTATCATCGCACAGTAAGACAATATAATCCACATACTCAAGGTCGAGAAGTCTTTCTTCAGGCAACAGATCCACACCACCATTCCCTACATCCGTCAGAGCTGTTTCCAGAACGTCATTGATAGCAAAGTCGAAGAGGAATAGTGAGATTGGGCAACATGTACTAACCCCACTGCTTGAATGAAACAATGTAGAGAGGTGGCTGTATGCCACCATTCTGCCTGATGTGTTTGTATATAGGGCTTGCAAAGTGTTAATCAACTCTTCTGGCATACCCTCTTCAACAGACAATCCAAGAGAACAGTCCTCAACTAATCAAAGGTGGCCCTAATGTCAAGAAGCACTACGACTTAAGCACCTATACTAGTCAACATTCATGTCTAGATACAGATACATGTGGCCCACATGCATGTATAAAACATAACCCAACCGTCTCAATCTCTGTAGATCCAATTAACATTTTGCCGTAAGTTTGATCAAAATGGTAAAAATCAGTTCATTCAATCGATAAATGCGCACTACACATACACAACATGATGAGAACTGAAGCTGTGACTTAAGGTTTTTTCGAAGTTTTCATTATGGACTGGTCTTTCGCTAGATAACTATTAACAATCAGGAAGCACTAAACAATTATTTTGTCCCTGTATGCGACTTCTCAACATTGTGCCATCTATCTGCCCTGTTATCCATGTGTAAATAATAGTTTATTTATTTAAACACATAAATATTGGTACAAGGAAGCACCAGATACATATGCACCGCACAAAACTCATCTAATTTGTGTCAGGGCTGTGATACTGCCCAGGTGCCCAAACTGAAGCAGGTGGTTTTCTTAGGGGGCCACACCCGGAGCCTTTGACCTAAAGATCTGATCCACAAGACAACGGAGCATCATGAGGAGATGCAGTCCCATAGTAGCCGGTGACCAATGATTGATTCATACGTCATATGTTCTCTCAGGATATTGGAGTCCATGTGCACTATTGGTTTGAAATGAGGGTTTTCCAACTCCCCTTGGTGGACTCGCTATGTCCACCAACCTTATTAGAGCTCCGGACATTCACTTTTTGTCCTCTCAATTTCGTAAACAACAGTAATGCCACGAGAAGGCAGTGAGTAGGACTTCCCTGGCAGAGGTATATACGCGTGGCCATATGAGATCATTTTGAGAGGTAGATCGGACTTTCCCCACTCTCGGTCGTACCAGGGCATTTGGGGGCGTACATAATAGATGAACGTTGTAATCATTCTCTCTGATGCGTTCGATAATTGCATCTAATTGTTAATTAATCATTTGTATGATTCTTAACATTGTTAACTAGGTCACAAACAAATTAGTATTAACTATAATTGTACACTACTCAGTTGGGAATATTTCAATATATATATTCCATTGTATAAGCCTGTCTATCTACATATAAATAGATAGATACAAGTACATGTTTGTTTACTCTTATATACTGCGCATCCATGAATCATGATGTTTTTTTTCCAATAACTTATTTTCTCTTCATGAATCAAAGTCTCAACAGGTTTTTGAACCAACTCTCAGGTTTTTCTAGATTTCCCATATCTCTGTATCTGTGTGTGTGTGTGTTTGTAGATGTATAACAAATTAATTTAATATTGTCAGTGATGATTGTTTGATTGACTGGTAATTTACATGACTCGTGTATCCTTCACCCAAAAACAATCATTCATAATGATAGCAGTAGTATATACACACACAGTAAAGCAGGATATACATTTGTTTATTATATTTCACATGTGTAACAATTGTATTTAATCCTATTTCATAAAAACAGTTGTTTTCAATTACAATATGAACCAGAGCAAGTTTTACTAATCAATCATGTACCTGGTTATTAAGTTACACTGAAGTGAAGACTCAGTCAACCATAATCAACATATATAGTACCTGATACATATTTTCCTTGACCCAATTTGTTATGCTGCATCCATATACTAGGACAAAGTGAAGATGAATAGTAATGTAGTCTAGGTAATTTAGTAGCAAGGATAATAAGATGGAATAAACATTGAAAATACAAAATAAGGAAGTGTATATGAAAGAAGAGTTAAACTCAAGAACTACGGTAAGACGAAGAGTGGATACATTTGTGCTAGTATGACTAATGTCTCCAACCACTAATTATAATCATCATTCTGTCATCAACCAGGCAGTTTGTATCTTCTAACAGAACTCAAGCCATTAGTCATTGACTTCATGGATTGATGCCAAGTCTTGATTTGGTCTTTTTTAGCTTTTTTTGTAACTTCTATACGAGCTAACATCGCCTGCTAAGGTAGTCGATGGCTAAAGATACGTAGTTACCTGGTTGAAGTCCGTATGATTATCGCAACTAATAGAGAATTTAGATGACATGACTCCTAATTGTTCAAAACATCCCAGGTGCATTTAAATCGTGAGTCACGGAATCCTCTTACACCTTTTTTCTTTGTTCTATATCTAATTTTCTCTAACACTACTTGTAATACTCTATCATTAGTCTTGAAATCGTTTTATATTTCTATGTTGGTATGCGTTGTAGTAACTTGAACTGAGGGGAATATGTTAGGTTTTACGCTACGTCTGACTAAATAAATAGGGCAGTTCCATATTTATTCTCTCTATCACAAAATGACTGGACTGATTGTTTTGACCTTAACTTTGGACTTCTGAGAAAACACGACCTTCAATTTTAGCGGTAATCTTACGGTTATAATCCAGTGTTTTTTATTTCCTTTGCCTCTGTTAATTACCTATTCAACGTGAGGATCACTCAATACTATTGGTGTTTGACATCTGTTTCACTCGACAAAATTGCATCAAAATCGACTATTGAATGCTGACTAACTAATCTAAGTGAAGGTTCACTACTCACTTTATAACTTAACCGTTCTACTTCCGATTTCGTGTGGAATATTGGGCAACCAACACTAGGATAAAACAGCTATACAGCACTCTCTGGTTTCAAATCATCAGCTGAGGCGGTTGATACATAAATCCAACCATCTACTTCGATCCACGAAGCTTTCGACCGTATGTCTGAGGTATGTGGACAGATATAGACTATCTGGTTAGCATTTGTGCGGTAACGTTAATCAGTGTTTGGAGATGTCAGCTGACATGTCTCAAAACCAGTCACAAGAAGGGAGGTGTATTCACTTTTTATCTTGTTCTATATCCTGAGTCCCATTATTTTCTCACACATACCTTTCATTTTATATTTTCGAACTATATTCTCAATGTTTAGTGTTTAACCTTCCTGCTAAATTATTTCAACTCCGTTTCTGTTCATCCTAACTTCATCTTCTTATATTGTTGTGTTATTCCAACTTAAGCCAATATACATTTGTTCTAGGCTTTAATTGGTTTTTTATTTAATTGGTTTACCATCTGATTTAGGCCTATGGTTAAAACTTATTTGAAGATTTCAATGATAATATGTGAATGTCGAAATATTCATCAAGTGTCTTATTCTTATTTCGCTTTTAGGAATTAACTGAAGTTCGACGACGTTTTGATCGAGCGCCTCAAGTTCTATATTCTCAGTCAGTACCTCCTAGTGAATTAATTGGGACAGATGCAGCTGTCGGTGAAAATGTGGCGTATATTACATTTGGTAAGTTATTTGAACGTGAATATATATGCATATAATGGCAAAGCTATGTCGCATTATAGCTGACATCAGCTAATAACGAAAACCCTACAGAGTTATAACCTTAACTCATCTTACTAGCCTGCCTCCTAATATGTAAACTGATACATTGGACGAATCAAAAGTCAGCAAAAGAGATCACACTGCACCAATCAACTTTCTCCTAATGACAAGTGCTTGTGATCAATCAAAAGGCGGTTTCATTTTCTAAAGAACAGATGCATATTTATAAATGAGTACTAATGCATGTAGATTAGAATAGCCCAATAAACTTCCTGCTTGCATTCGTGGTCTCTGTTTAATGAGTACATGGTCAGCGGTTTTCTTATAGGAAGTTTGTGTGCCAATATCAGTCGTGTTTACCACGGTTCATAACACAAACTTAGCCTTTTTCCTCTACTGTAATGAGTAATTCAATATGTTAAAGATTAATTAAACAAACCAAAACTATTATTCCATTGTGATCCTATTGCTTCCTGTTGTTAATTGTTTTATAATTAAACAGTTCTGATTTCTGTGACTCAGTTTCTTTGGGTTGACGATGTACACGTCCAACCAGGAATAGTCACTCTAAATCAACTGCTAAGTTGTTATTCGTCCACCATTCTACTGCTTCTCTCTCTGCCTTGCCTTTGGGTCTACAAACCAATAACTAGTCTTCAATTTTTATGTATTTCAGACAGATAAAATTTATCTACAAGCAGACTAGACCGCATCACACAATACATAAATAACAACTATACATGGTCAAGCTGAAAAGTGGCTGTTAGTAAGGGAGACTGTATTGGATAATAGTATTTAGTGGATCAGATGAAAGCTTATGATAATAATAATTGTTATTATTATTGTTATTATCATACAATAAAAGTATATATAACATTAGTCCTGGAAGTTAACATTCCTTTAGCTATCATACTGACATAACAATACGTCCACACGTATGCATATACAAAAAAGTACATATGATTAACACGTGAATACCTGACAAGGATAAATACAAACGTACAGACTAAATTCATGTAGGCGTCATAAACAAAAATCGATACAAGTCACTATAAATTGTTTCCAAATATTTACAGGAAATCAATCATTATTACAACAATTTTATCTCTGTTATCAGATAGAGAGATTTAATAGTCTCTTTAAGCGATTTTCATTTATCTAGCCCAGATAATCTATATAACATTCTTTTCAAGTATTGGTATCTTGGGTTCGAAACCCTTCATCTACTTGATTTAGTTTTAATAGAAAGATTTTATCTTCTGTTTTAAAAAGTTTAGCAATTCCTTGATGATTTAAATAGTAGTGTTAGCAGGAAATAAACCGGATTAACGCATGTTATGTGTATGATCGTGACGGCGCATGCTGATTGGCTAATTCTAAACCAATCAGCTCTGACAAATTGTTGGGGAAGTATCTAGAAATTTCTTATGCATATGCTATAAATATATATGAACGTTTTTCTAACAATTGATTGCTGTGTCACTTACCCTTGTTATTTTGAATACAATTTCGTTCCTCTTCAACGTGTTCTGATTTTGAGGGTCTTGTTGAGTGTCATCGTATAAGAATACTATTATTTGGTATGTAATTCCCATTTAAACATTAAAATTAAAACACGGAGTTCAGCGAAGGGATCTCTTTTCAACGAATTTATTATCAAGCTGTACAATCGTATATGTATGAAAATGTTTTATTATTAAAACTCCGTGTTGTAATACTATTATTTACTTATTTATTTAAACATATAAATATTGGTACAAGGAAGCCCCAGATACATATGCGCCGCACAAATCTCATTCGATTTGTGTGAGGACTGTGATACTGCTCAGGTGCCCAGGCAGACGCAGGTGGTTTCCTTATCCATCGTGAGGAGATGCAGTCCCATGGTAACCGGCGACCAACGATTGATTCATACGCCATTTATTCCCTCAGGATACTGGAGCCAGCCCATGTGCACCATTTGTTTGAAATGAGGGTTTTCCAACTCCCCTTGGTGGGCTCGCTGTGTCCACCAACCCAGTTAAAGCGTCGGACATTCGCTTTTCGTCCTCTCACTTTCGTAAACAACACCCGTGTTACGGGAAGGCAGTGGAGTAGGACTTCCCTGTTAGAGGCTATATACGCGTGGTCATGTGAGAGCATTTTGAGAGGGAGAGCGGACTCTCCTCACTCTCAGCCGTACCAGGGCATTTGGGGGCATAAGAATACAAAGCAATAAGAGTAGCTGGATCGTTTATTAGCAAAAAAAATTATAACAAGTAGTCATTTAAGTTTTACCTTATTGTCCATTCTCTATTCACTACTTTCTTTTTATAGTTCTATTTCCTCGACATCTTACACCGCAAGCATCTCCACGTACTATCAATCTTATTCATATATTACGCAACTATTTACATTATCATATAAAATGTTCCAAAGGATATATACATCGAAGAATGCGTGCTAAAACATTTGAATTTATTAAAATATTAAATCGTGCTAGACCACAATTTTATTGTTTAAATCCTGTCATACAAACTGGTACTTCTATGATGATGACAACAACAACATCAATGAAGTCAATCACTTCAAATTCATTATTTACAGACAATAATATTACAAATGGTGAAAATGGTATTGATTATAATAATAATAATAATAATAATAATAATAATAATAGTAATGGTAGTCATAATGGAAGTATACAGACAAATCGAGAAAATACAATATCACCAATAAAAGATACTAGATCAATGTCACAACAACATCAACATTTATCAACACCACCAGTTCGACAAACATCAGTATCATCATCATCATCATCGCCGTCATCATATACGACTACTCTTCCTCAATCTTCAGATTTCATGCTCAATAATGGTTATATATAAAGTATTATTCTTTAAAAAGAAAAGATGTATTTTAACTTTGTCTCCCATTCATTTTATGTGGGAGTGTATGTGTCTGTTCCTTCATCTTTTTTTTGTACTTGTGCCAAATAATCTGAATACATTTACTAATATTATTCATACTAAATAACATGTATACTGGCTATTCATTATAGACCCAAATGAAGATAGCTGACTTCCTAATATCAATTTATTAATAGTAGTATCATATGCATATAAAGAAAAGAAAACCCAGGCTTATTTCATCTCTCTCGGTGGCTTAGTTAGATCAACTTCTTCCATAAGTCATGATCATCATCATCTTTTTATTTGGCTGTTTGTGCATATGTGATAGGTAGTGTAATTATGAATAGTTTCATGTTGATGATAACTTGACAAGGGAAAGACCTGTGATTTTTTATCTTAGTTACAGCCTAGATTATCCATGTAACTGATCTAAGATATATACATATAGAAATGTATATGTATATACCTATGTATTTAAAAAAATGTATTCTCCCTTTATCCTCTTATTCATGAATTATATCTTCTGCTGCATGGTATCATTCTCCATACTACATTATTACCGGGTTGTTGTTGTCGTTTTTTTTTTAATGAAAAAATTCATCCTTAGGGTTTACTTTATTGTAATTCGTTTATCCGTCGTTGTTGTTGTCGTCCTCGTCGTTTTATTTGAAATACAAATGTTTGTTTGTTTTTCTCTACTCCATCCTTATTTACTTTTTTTTAAAAATGTTATTCATTTTCTTTGTCAATTATCAAGAAATGAATAGGTATCATTGTTGTCTTCTTGTTTCTACAATTGCCCTTTATTATGATTATCTTCTGAAAGATGTAGGTGATAATATGAGTAGAGAGAGAGAGAGAGAGAAATACCATTACCTGTAGGAAACAAATTGAATCTTTTATAACTTGGACCGATGCATATATATGCCTGGTCCTACGTTGTAACTGACTGACTTGTAATATGAATAGTAATATAAAGCATTTATTAATGTTCCTGTAAAACATATGCATTATTTACTATTATTAATAATGATTATTAAATAAATGATAATAAATTTAACATTCATCTTATTGTTTTCCCATACTGAATTGTTTCTCATTATTACATAATCTATTACTTACTATCTTTAGTAGGTAATCCAGTCTCAACTGCAAAAACAAAAAAAGAAATGATAAGGTCATTTTTACTCTAATAAGATCAATTATCCGGTGGAATGTTATAGTCTATCTTAACATCTTATTTGATTCATACAACAGTTCTTATAACCCTTAATAATTAATTAGAATACTAGAACTATGATATGCTTGATACTAATTCCATTTCTCGGTAAACGAACGAAGGTCAATGACACAGTGACACGATAGGTTAATCTAATCCGCTATCTCAGGCCCCGCTAACTAAAGGAAGAAGCCCAAGGCGAAGTAGGGGAAAATATATTCTGTAAGCAGTCGAAGTACAAGCAATCGTAAGGGGGAAAAACTCAAACGTAAATATACAGCGATAAATTGTCCTTGGGTAGCATTATAAAATAACACACTCAAAGATACAACGAACCAGTAGCGTTTAAGATATTTTACAAGTGGGGAATTCGACTCGAAGGTGAAAAGAGCGCTTTTGGTGCGAAAACAAACAAATTCGAATTTTCAAAATAAAATTACAAAATTAGGCCATTTACCAAGTAAGTTCTGGGGATTTAACCCCCCCCCCAAATATTGGTACAAAGGGGTACCAGAAATACATGCGCCGCACAAATCTCATTCGATTTCTGTGATACTGTCCGGGTGCGCAGACAGAAACTGGTGGTTTTCTTAGAGGGCCACACCCCAAGCCTTCGAACTTAAGGTCTGATCGATGAGGCAGTGGAGCATCGTGAGGAGATGCATTCCCATGGTAGTCGGTGACCAATGATTGATTCAACTGATCCACGAAGTTGAGCAACCATTCAAGATACATGTCCTGGAGTTCTAGTGGGAAGCAGTGACCAGTGGAATTCAACCACGTCTGTTGTGAGATAGGAACTCACTGAAGACAATTGGTGAATGGTTGCTCAACTTCGTCGATCAGTTGAAGTTAGACATTAACACCGTTAGATGCCAGCTCAGTGGTCTATCGGTTAAGGGCTTCGGCTTGAGACTGGTAGGTCCTGGGTTCGAATCTCGCGAGAGCGGGTTCGTGGATGCGCACTGCTGAGGAGTCCCATAATAGAACGAAACGGTCGTCCAGTGCTTCCAGGTTTCATATGGTGGTCTAGCTTCAATTGACTCATGATTTCAACTTTGATATATATATATATATACATATATATATATATATATATATATATATATATGTACATATATATATATATAACAACAGTTTAAAAAACATCCTACAAATAAGAAACTGCAATTTGTACATATGTTAATTAGTTATGATATAAAAATGATCTTACACCTATCATGCCTTGTGAAGCATAGACCGACGACTAGATGTCTCTGGACAACTCTGTCCAGGACTCCCTGATCAATAATACAAATAAGCGTCAGACGGGAAACAATAGTTGCTCACTTTTGTCGTTATGATACCACAAACTCGATTATTATAGTATTATGTTTTTCGCCCCTGTCAATTATCACGTGACAAGATAACCAATCAGAAAACCGCCTTATATGACCTTATTCTTGTGCTCAACCAATGACACGTCAATCAGCACTAGCAGCCTTAAGTCAACTCAGAATCCCTATTGATCCTTCTCACCTAGCCCTGCTCGTTTAGTCCAGAATATGATCTCAGCCTCCACTATATGAATAATATATCTCAGATGTAGTTAGTTATTATACAAGCGAACCAAACTGCATCACACTATAAAATGAAAAATAACAATCATACAAGATCAGTCAGAAAGTGGCTGTGAATGCGAGAGACTGTTATTAATAAATTTAAAATAGTAGGTCGTATAACAGTAGTCAATAGGTCAAATGAAAGTTTGTGATGAAAGGAATATTAATATGTATAATAACAGTCCATAAATAGTTCCCGGGAGTTGCCCATAATTTAATCTTCGGATACGACAATGGTCCATTAGGTGTGTGCAATGTCTCTTTGAAGTTGGTGATGTTGAATCTAATGCGGACTTTTATATCTAGGAAAAAGCAAGCTCTGTGATCGTTGTAAATTTATCTAAACTCGATTATATAAGTCAAAAGAGTGTTTCACAAAGACACTTCAATGATGACATTCGCACGTAAGTGAGAAGAAAAATGTTGAACTTCCAAAGAGAGATTTACTGATTGTCAAGAAGCTCTACCAATCTAAGGGTACGTTTCATTTCACACAATGTTCTTAATGAAACATTAATTTGTACAAATCAGACACATTATCCAATGTTTACTTCTTATTAATGTCAACCATAGACTGATATAGAAAATATTGTAAGTGGCTGTAGATGATATGAGTCTTTATAGAACTACAATTTCTTATGAATTATTTGTCTAAACTTTAATATTTTTCAGTCTTGATTATAACAGTTTCATTAACAGAAGGGGTTTTTTGTGGAGATTTAGTATTTTCATAGTTGAAAGCGTAAGTCAATTGAATCTAGACCACCAGGGCAAACCTGGAAGCACTGGACGGCCGTTTCGCCCTCGCGAGGCGAGGTAGTGGATGCACACTACCGAGGAGTCCCACAATAGGATGAAACGGCCGTCCAGTGCTTCCAGGTTTGCCCTGGTGGTCTAGTTTCATTAACATTGAACCAAATTTAAAGTATTCTCAAGTCATTAATAAGTGTAAATAAATGAGGATTTCCTATCCGAAGTGCAAATAAAAGATAGATACCTTTTATCCTAATAAATATTTCTCTCTCTCTTCCTTGTTATTGTGATCTGGGTCAAAATTACGTTGCTCATAATGTATTCTAATAGTATAATTATTTCTTTGAAAACTTTTACTCACGTATAGTATAACTTTTCATCAAAACTAACCAAAAAGTTATTATCAAAAAGGGTTTTGTGGATATTATAGTAATTTTAATAGTTGAGATCATTAATCAATTGAAGCTAGAGCATCATGGAAACACTGGACGGCAGTTTCGTCTTATTATGGAACTCCTCATCCGGCTGTCCAGTGCTTTCAGGTTTTCTATGGTGGTCTATCTTCAATTGATTCATGATGTCAACTATTAAAATTACTAGTATTCATTTGACCTTATAGTTACCACAATGAACAACAATTTATGTGAATCAATTATAATGTGTATAGAAAATGTGGTTTAATCGTAAAATTTTTGTTATTCAGTAATATTAAGAAACAATAAAGAGTAATAAAATGAAGTGTTATTCACTTGTTTTTGTTTACTTGTATCTTCCCATTGTTATTTAGGACTGCAATTGATCAGTCTCTTGTTGGCATATGTGCATCCTATGTGGACTGCCTCGATATTGCCTGAAGTCACAAAATTTATAAGCAAAGTTGAATAGTGGCTGACGAGTCCCAAATAGGACGAAGCGCACGTCCTGGATTCCATTGCTAGCCACTATCCATCTTTGCTTATAAAAATGAAGTCTGTTATAAATTCCAATATTTTACATTAACTAGTATAGGGGATAGTTGGAAAAGAGTTAGGGGTGGCCAATCCAAAACGTGGCATCAGTGCTTGAAGTCACTAACTTCCAGTCTGAGCCATGTTGGTAGATGCAGACTACCTGGTTGGTCCCCGCGTGACTATCGTAACCAATGGTTGGAGGCTCTAGGTGACATGGCTCAGAATCGATCGTAGGTGTATACACTCCTTATCTTCCCTTAAACCTTGAGATTAAAATTGCTTCGTAACTTTTTTCCTTCCTATACTATATCCTTATATACAACCTATCTTTTATATACTACCACCACTAAATTAACTATTTCTATGAAGCCGGTGTTCATCTTGTTATGCTAACGAGGTATGGTAAATTGGACCGATGCATATGTGTGCCTGATCCTACGTTGTAGCTGACTGACTTACTGAATTAGAGTTCTCATCTATCAAACACTAAATTACAACCTCAATCTACCTAATTTACTTTTGAAAAGTGGATAATCTCAATAGAGTTTGCACTTAAAGTATAGTCGCAATACCCAATACACGATTTTGTATTGGTTCTATAAGCTAAATTCAAATATCTAACAGAAAGAAAACAATACTAATAGTAGTATAAATTTACTAGTTAAAGACTAAAGAGACATATACCAGAAATGTTAAAAATTTGCAACAGTTTTATAAATATACAAGCAAAGATGGATAGTGGCTAGCAGTAGAATAACAATGGGAAGATATAAGTATACAACACCAAATGTTATAGATTAACCGAAATCTAAGTCATCGCTACTGATTTATTTTAGAAAATAAATATCAAATCAACAAGTTAGTATGTTGACCATTTTTTATAGTCACTGAGAAAGTCTACAGCTTACGTGATAGTTAAGAAAGAGTTAATTATTTTTCTTTAAGTTGATTTCCCATCTTCATAGGGTAGATGTTACATTCCTCACTATCTAGTATACCTTGGATACTACAAATCTGAGAAAATCAGTATTGGTTAGGAACACCTATCTCAATAAACTCGAGTAACGGAATATACTGTTGCTATAACGTGCGATATCTACCTGAGCTACAAATCTTCATCTCAACAACTGTTACTGATACACACTTCCTATACGAAAATCGCCAACCGGCTACTCAGTAGGGAGATTCAGAGTGGGAGCTTATTGGACTAAATCGGTTCACATGCGTAAACACTCATATATTACTGGTCAGTCACATGCACTTTTCATTAGGAAAGTTTTGATTAGCTCAGTGTGGCCTTCTTATTTGGTGACTTTTTATTGGCCCACTGTGTCAACAGTGCTATAAACAGTTTATGAGAGAAGCTTATAGGATATTCCCGATACATACATTAGCACTAATTGGGTGGAAATGGATAAATTAGCGTAATCCGCTTTGACCCTGACCCAAAAGTTAGAACTCTATTTTACTATGAAAAGACTTGACGTTTTCCAACTAACATTTTTCGTGAAGGTAATCAAGCATCTAGATGATTCATAAGGACAATCATATAAGGTAAAAGTGTAGTGTGGAGCGAACCAATCAGAACGGAGAACTTTAATTTAATATTTGAGCAAAACTCAAAAATGGATTACTTTTATCTTTCATTACATAAAATCCAAGATAGAAATGTCTTCCTAAGATGTTCAGGACGTTTAAAGTTGGTAGAAAATTCTTTTGGTGGTCATACAGTAAAAAATGACAAACTGGTGAGACCACAATTTATGGACGACCTTTGAGCGATGATTTAGAAATCTTAAGGATGTCCAACTACTTACTCGGGTTAAACAAGTTTTGTAAATTGATATGGGGAATTCGGATTTACAATTGAACGGTAGGGCTAGGAATTAGAGTCAGGGTTTTCATCACAAACTGACATCAGATATAATACCAAAATGTTATTTAGCTATATGGCTGAATGAATTTCGGATAGAGAATCCAAGATTCTCTATCTTAAATGTGTTTAGCTTATTTATAAATTATAGTCTCGCCGTAAAGCTTATACATTAAGAAGTGACCATTTAATAAATTTGCAAGAGATTTTACATATATGAACCAATCATTTCTTGTCTCAGTGTATCCTGTTTATGGTAAAGAAATTATTTTATTGATGAATCACTGAATAATGAATGACCTGGAGATGGCAATCATCTGATACGTGATGTCTTCATACAAATATAGAAACAACAATGATTCTTCTATCATTTCTTTTTCAGTCAACTTATTAATAAAGTGTTTGTAAGACATGGTGAGGTTATTTAGCTATATTCCTACAAAATTAAGATCAGAAAACTGATAATATGCTCTGAACAATCAATAAACTTAAAGAATACTTAGCTGGTTTTATCACTTTTGTAGCTAATTACTTTTGATTCAGAAGAACTCTCCATTGATTGGTTGAAAACTGGCTTCAAATCCATGCAGTTACTTTGAAAACCATTAAAGCTAGTCCGTATGTACTCTTTCACATTTTCTACCTACAAATCTATGGACAAGTTTACAATCACTTTGACTCTATGGTAGAAGTAAGGTATAGGGGCAAGCTGATCAGGATCGACAATGTGACTCTCAAGCTTTTGCGTTAAATTCATGTATAGAGGGAAGTAAAAATATCTTTGTATAACAAAAACTTTCTCGCCACCATATGATGAAAAATGATAGTGCTGAATATATCAAATGCTCAACTATGTCTCTATAAATTGTATATAACGACCAAAACAACACTATCTTTACATCCTGACGCCAAACTCTTAATCATCAAACAAACTTTAACTTAGTGGCACTACATTTGATGGACGAACTGATCAGACAGCATCTCTCAGATTTTTGAGCAAAATACACTTACCCAAATTCCCACGAAGCATTTGTTTTATTGTAACTGATAGTGTTTATTTATCCACTTCTCTTGCACGTATTCGTATTGATATTTTTTAATATAATATTTTGGCAACAACTTAATATGGTGTATAACGATAAGAATAGCATTAGTATAAAAGACTCAGAAGTACAGGCAAATAGTTTTCGACCGGTTCCTTTCATCCCCCACGATCCAGATGTTTGGTTCGCGGCACTGGAATCTGGATTCGAGATCCGCCGCATAACCAACCAACGCCAAAAATATGCCGACGCTCTAGAATCTTTGCCTGGGGATCACTTAACTACTGTTCGTGAGGTCGTCCTCAATTCAAATGTACCGAAAGTTTACGATCATCTCAAGGAAGCTTTTTCATTGACTAATGAAACTAGATACTACTCTTACCGACTATGCCCCCAAATGCCCTGGTACGGCTGAGAGTGGGGAGAGTCCGCCTTCCCTCTCAAAATGCTCTCACATGGCTACGCGTATATAGAATCTGACAGGAAAGTCCTACTCACTGACTTCTCGTGGCATTACTGTTTTTGAGAAATTGAGAAGACGAAAAGCGAATGTCCGGCACGCAAACCGGTTTGGTGGACACGGAAAGTACACCTAGGGGAGTTGGAAAACCCTCATTCCAAACCAATGATGCACATAGTGTTCCAGTATCTTGAGGGAACAAATAGCGTATGTATCAACTGTTGGTCACCGGCTACCATGGGACTGCATCTCCTTACGATGCTCCACTACCTTGTGGATTAGATCTTTAGGTCAAATGCTCCGGGTGTGGTCCCTTAAGAAAACCACCTGCTTCGGTCTGGGCACCCGGGCAGTATCATAGCCCTTACACAATGAAATGAAATGACAATTTTTTGTGTGGCGCATATATATCTTACCGACTATCTATTACGTTATACAGAGGACAACTGGCAATTCAATACAAACATAATGTATATGCGATAAGAACAAAAGTAAACAAACAAATTATACATATATCAAATCATACAAAAAAAAGACAAATTGATGCATTTTATATAAATACTAATATAAAAATAAAAAAGGCACTATAGATATATTAGTAGCAGAGAGATTACAACTAATATAATAGTCTGGTTGATTGCCTGTCGTTTGAATGGTTCGAGAATTGAACGGCAGACAGATTCATTAAAAAAATGTAATATAATAGTCAACAAACTGTAGTCCAGTCTTGTTATAGATAAATCAGTATACATCCATATAGATAGATGGATAGAAAGACAAAACAAAATTCTTACGTAGAGTAAAGAAAAGTAACGAGAGAATCACATATAGAGTAAAAGTCATGGTTATTTCTTGACGACAATAAAAAAAAAATTAGGAATGAAGGTCATAACAAAACAATACATTAAGAATGTATCCATTGGTAAGATTCATTTTACTTCAACATTGTTATCATCACCGGATGACTATCAATGATAAGTGTATATAGACGGTTCTTCTTTTGTTTAGGCACAATTTATTTGTTATATACGTAAAGATTAATCGATTGATACAATCAACTGCCTTGACAACTAATAATAATAATAAATAGGTATGTATGGAATGAAACTGAAAATCAAACTACGTTTAGCCATTCAATGCAAGGTTTAACAAAATGGGATCACAAAGAAAAAAGTACAGCCACAAAATAGCTGTAAACATCTTTCTCTCTCTCTCTCTCTCTCTCTCTCTCTATATATATATATATATATATATATATATATATATATATATAGGCAGGAATGATGAGCAACCAGAGGAATGTGTCTCTTCTCCATAGGAAGGAGACGATCGTCGTATACAGTGTGAAACGAACAAGCGAATTGAAGTTGTTTAATGATAATCGGAGATAAGATATATATATATATAACAGGTGTATTGTGCCTTATATGTAGTTTTTTTTGCCTTCCATTTTTCCATCAACTTTCACATACTACTTACTCATGGTATTCGTTGTATGTTAATGATAGAATGAACTATGACAATGATCAATGAAAAGAATGAAACAACATCAACAACAAAATATTGCCAACTAGAAGGAATTTGTCAAAAGAAGATGAAAAAAGTACCGAACAAGCAAGCAAGCGCACATGAGAGAGAGAGCAACTCCCCCCCCCTCATTGGTGAATCAGTAAGGCATTCAAAGTAATCAAAGAAAAAAAAATAGGAAAAAAGAAGAAATCAACAAGAATATGGATATACATCCAATGGAAATTGACTTGAAAAAATACATATTTGTGTATATAAAATAAAATATTCATTATTATTATTATTATCAGTAGTATTAGTAGGAGGAGTAGGAGTAGGAGTAGGCGTAGCAGTAGTAGCAGTAGAAGGAGTAGTAGTAGTAGTAGTAGTAGCAATATTACAAAATATCGTTGTAACTATTCTTCTGATTTCAATTCATTAATTAATTAACTAACATCTAATTAGTATTAACAATTAAGAAAATCTCTATTCTAAAAAATAAACAACAAAATATCAAAGTGAATAGAATAGAGAATAACAACAACAAAATAATGGTAATAATACAAAAAGTAAAGGAAACTAACGTTGAAAGAATGTTTCGTTCCTAAATCAATAAATTGATTGATTGAAAATCTTAGCCTGTACGCATTGTTCGACCCCTAAAAGAAAGAAAAAATCAATATGAGTTAATCACTAGAAATATATATATATATATATATATATATATATATATATCAGTAAAGGTTTTAGTTTTCCCTTTATTAGTCAGTCTTTATTGATGATATAGGCATCCTGAACAAGCTGTCTTGATATTGAGATTTATGAACAAGTTTTGATGAAACGTTGAATATTGGTTGATAGTGAAATTCATGGTTTATCCTATGTAAAACATGTCAATTGAGTGCATTTGTATTTCAGTGCTGATATCTGCACTGAATCAAGTTCCTTTTGTTTCGAAAAAGGATAAAAACGAACTCTTACAAATGAAATTTACATTTTTTCTCATAGCTGAAATCATGAGTCAATTGAAGCTAGACCACCAGGAAAAACCTGGAAGCACTTGACGGCCATTTCATCCTATTGTGGGACTCCTCAGAAGTGCGCATCCACGATCACGCCTTGCGAGATTCGAAAACAGGATCTATCAGTCTCGTGCGCGATAACTTAACTGATAGACCACTGAACCGGCCGTCATCCGATGGTGTTAATGTTTAACTTCAACCAATCCACGAATTTTGAGCAACCGTTCACCAATTGCCTTGCCGTCCAGTGATTTCAGGTTTTCCATGGTGGTCTAGCTTCAACTGACTCATAATTTTAACTATGAAAATAGTGAAATCTCCACAAACCCCTTCAGATTCAAATTTACATCTGTTGTATAAAACAGTGACTATTTGGACTTGATAACTCAATGAATAATGCGTTGACATTAGAAGTAAGATGTACTAGGCTCGAGTTTCGAAGTGAATACCACAACTTGGATATGGCAGGTATATCCAGGTGGCGAGTTTCAACCAGATCTAAACGCGAGTTCTGAACTCCAATGTTAATCACTATCCAAATTTAATAAAGATATACATATACAAAGAAAAATATGATAATTATTCTGACCACTAACAGTCCTAAACATCAATGGGAAGATTCAAACAAACAACAATAAATGAATTTAAACTCCACCCCATTGCACAATCAAGTGGCTATCAGGACTCAGTGGCCGAGTGGATAACGCGATGGCGTTTGAAGCGAAAGGTACTGGGTTCGAGTCCCAGAGTAAACATTAACTCTGAGATGCAAGTCCATCCAGCTGAGTCCCAAATAGGACGAAACGCACGTCAAACTGGATTCCACTGCTAGCCACTATCCATCTTTGCTTACAATGCTTGTGAATTAAGGCTATATCGAGGCAATAAGCACTGTATGCACATATGCCAATTAGAGACTGACCAGTTTCAGTCCTAAACATCAATGGGAAGATCAAAACAAACAATACTAATTGAATTTATTCTACCCTTCACTCATCATCATCACGACTAACTAACCCTAGAAATTGGATGTTCAGAATGCTTAATTTTTGTTGAACTCATTAATCATATTGCATCAGTACAATTAAATCAAGAATTCTCTTAGCAATTATTATGCATACCACTTCACTATTAATCAATAAACACAAATAATAGTAATAATGGTTGCTTAATTGATAAGTATACATATAAATGGTAAATTCCTTTAGAATTGAACAGTCAAATAAAGTACATTTCAATGTTTTCTAGCATATAACTACTACTAACCAGCTGTTTCAATATTTTATGCTTAAATTTACATCAAAATGAAACTTGGCACAAGAAATAAAATTATTCAGGTGATTGGAAGCAGGTTTCAGCAAAACATCTGGATTAGGTACCAGTTCACACTCATAACACTAAAACGTGTCTGCATGTTTGAGAGATTTGATGCTTCTTGTAGGGTTCGAACTCTTCCCAACCAGATTCATAATCTAGAGAATTATAACTGAACTATTCGGGTTGCGAATGACTTCCTTTAGGACTATGGTATTTACAGTCGATTGATGACTCTGAGTATTGATAAATCTAACACTTGTTTACTACTTTAGTGCAGCTCTAATCCTATAGATCAAGTACTTAAGAGTGACCTTGATGTTGAATAGAAAGACTATTAAAAAGATACGCAATACTGCTAGACAACTGTTTTATTTTTAAAACTTAGATGGGATCCAAATAATGCAAAACCTGTTTTTATGTAAAGAATACAAAAACCAACCAATCAATTAATCTCAATAGAATGTGACATAGATACGTGTTCGAATTTCATTCGATTCATTATGCAGATACATATGTAAACAATACATAGTCTATCACAAGTATATACATATTGAAGCCTAGGAAGTCGCCACACTTCACATTAGCACAGTAAGAGATGAATCAGAAAAAGGATAACTATGGAAAAAAAAAGTGGAAAATTAATGTCCGTACAGTGATGATGGATTCATATTGTACGAAACCTGCAAGTATTGAGTAACGGTTACTTCAAGAACTCCATAGAACCAAGAAACTTCAACATTTTCCTACACGGTATTCACATTAACGGTCAACTTGTTCATGGTCCAATCCTATCACTTAGCCCAGTGGTCATGCTAAGCCTTTAGTTGTGACTCTCTCTACCTTCTTGTCTTATATCCTAGAAAGTGTAGACAGGTGAGTTATAAATGATTAAGTATATAGAATTTCTCAGACTACTCAGTAAATAAAGTAACAATGTATGATGTTTCTTATTTATTTGCCAAATACAAGTGTGTTTATGTAGTCGACATTAAGCTACGATGTTTGTATGAGGGTTATTTGACATTAGAATCGACTATCAAAATCAAATGAGATGAAAATGAGTTCGGAACTTTGAACACTCATTGGTATTTAAAGTCAAATACTTCAACCATAACTACACCACTGCGTTACTACTAACCTATGAAGAGTCACAATCTCATTCAAAGAGACATCTTTGTTAGTATTTTACAAACCTAACAAAAACAAAAAAGTGATCTAACATTTAAACAAACACATACATGCAAACAAAGACAAAAAAGCACAATAACATACATATTATCATTTTGTATACCACCGATTTTGTTCACTAATGGTGAAATAGGTGCGACTTCACCGGAGACAGTTGTAATATTGGTATTAATCACAGTATTTGTTGAATGTTCAATGTGGGCACGGTTGAGTACTTTCAAGAATTCCACTGTTTTAGCACGCATACGCATTTGCATATAAGCTTTGGAACATTTAATATGATAGTGTAAATAGTTTCTTAATGTTTGTATTAGATCGATGGTGGAATTACGCGCAGATTCAGTGGATAAATGACGCGGAAAAAGCACTAGGATGTAGAAATATATATATAACAGAAAAAGAAAAACTAATGACCATTATCAATATCAAAAATATAGGGAGGGATTATAAAATGGATGTTTTCACAATTCATGTATACCAATAGGTATACTACAACAGGTAGGCGGTACCTTAGTAATTTAAAAACACAAGCTTCCAAAGTTGAGTCATTCACCGATTTTATGACAGTCTGGAAAGCCGATTAGTATTTCTAGCCTTAAAAGCACCAATGTACAAACCTATACTTGAATAATGGAAATAATTCAAACACACAGAAATGTATCTATCGGTAAATAATGTAAAACAAACATAGTACGTATGCTGTTTCATTTTGAAGATTACATAAAAATATTATTGAAACCATAAACCAATCTAAGTTAAACAATCATCGAAAACCTGAGGTAACTTGATGACCATTTCGTCCTGGTATGGAAGACTTTAGCAGCGCGCATCCAAAACCTCAAAACTGGGAGTCAAACAAGGGACTTTCGGTCTTCACAAGAACGCCCCATCTCTAGACCACTAAGTAGAATAATTCAATGACACAAGTCCAAATTCAATCAATTTACGATGTCTCGCGACCACCTTTCATTGTCATTGGTAGGTACCTTCCTTACACTCGACACAGTTCAACTCCACTGGAGTCAGTAGTAAGCAAATCATGACTCTCAGTATGGAGTTTTGAGGATTGTTCAGTTTTAGTGAATTCAAAATTATTATTATTATTTGAACACATAAATATTGGTACAAAGAGGGACCAGATATATATGCGCCACACAAATCTCATTTCATTTGTGTGAGGACTGTGATACTGTCCACGTACCCAAACTGAAGCAGCTGGTTTTCTTAGGGATCCACAACCGGAGCCTTTAACCTAAAGGTCCGATCCACAAGGAAGTGGAGCATCGTGAGGAGATGCAGTCACATGGTAGCCGGTCACCAACAATTGGTTCATACGCCACTTGTTCTTTCAAAATACTGGAGCCCATGTGCATCATTGGTCTGGAATCAGGGTTTTCCAACTCCCTTAGATGGACTTTCCGTATCCACCAACCCGGTTTGCGTGCCGGACATTCGCTTTTTGTCCTCTCCATTCCGCAAACAACACCCCCGCCACGAGAAGGTAGTGACTAGGACTTCCCTGGCAGAGGCTATATATTCGCGTGGCCATGTGAGAGGATTTGGAGAGGGAAAGCGGACTCTCCTCACTCTCGGCCGTACCAGGGCATTGTCACAATCCCATAATGAAAACACAATTTTCATGCATATATATATATATATATATATATATATATACGCATTGATAGACAGAAAATGTGCCATTAACCAGTTTTCGACTACAATCAACTTCGATTTCTAAAAAAATGGTTGTGCCTATGAAATAATAATATTTATGATGAATACTACCTCGAAAAATACTTAGCAACTATAAATTGTTACTAAAATATTGATTTGTAATTAATTCATTTACTAATTATGAATACATAAACAAAACAATACACATTCAGTATGTACAAATTATACTTTAATGGTGAACTACTACTAATAATTGTTATTATCATTAAAAAATTCCATTTATTCAGGTATAAGAAACGTAGAACTTAATACATAATTACACTGGTTCAAGTTTACGCACCATATTAGTGCACAAAGAAATAAAATCATTTCAAGATAAATGACAGTAGCAGAAAAAGTAGTAACAGTATTACTGATAGTAGAAACTATTAGGCATAGACAATCTGATTCGAGATAAAACAATGAATCCGAGGAATAAAAGTTGTAAGGTAACTTTTAAACTTACGATCAAACAGAAGAATGAATGAATTATTGCATTGTTGTGAAGGAGTCTGAACTACGTCAGTTTGCTAGCTCTAACCTTTCCTCCCAAACTACTCCTCCCTATACCATTCACCATAGGATAATAGTTTATAAAGCAGAATAACAATTAGACTATGAACTCAGAAGACAAGTAACCTAAACGACTTACCAAAAGTAATGTACGCAACTGAATCACTGATAACTGCATCAGTTCCCTGTAATTCTTTTGGTGGAACACGATGAGAATACAATACTTGGGGTGCTCGATCAAGACGTCTTCTTACCTCAGTGAACTCCTGTGACGTAAATATTTGAATATAAAAATTCAAACAGTTTAAAAAAAGTATTCCAATACATAGTTCATAAACTGAAGTCAAAAAAGGGTCATTCAAGTTTAATTATAAATAGATTGTTACTAGAAATCACCGCTATTTTAATATTATGTATTGAACCTGTTGTATTTTTAGTCGATAGCTTCAAAAATAGTCATTACCTCTTGAAATGGGTCATGATACTAGGTACAGATTTATTATTGGTCAGAAGCTGGAAGACTATCCTTATTTATTTACTCTTAAATATATAGTTAAATAGTTAAAATAACCCATTGTGTCATTGATTGAAAATAAAGCAAAGAAAATTGTTTTTCAACGAAAACGATACGTCCAACCTCTTATCCTTTCTTCACCTTGATTTATTTTGTAGTATATTTTAGCTTTTTTTAAAAATTAGTGTTTTGTGATTCTAAACCATAATTAGTTATTATTATCCTTTTCTGTCCTTCTATGGGCAAAGTAAACGATTTCGTCGAAAAGAAAACTTTCTTCTCTGAATTCCATTTATATAGTTAAATGACATAGCTATCACTAATGGCAATGATTCGGTTATATTTAATCTTTACCTTTCTCTGAATTTGCAGCTAAATTACCTCATACTTTTGATTGTTCAGTCTCATGTCACTTTTAAACTACGGCTTTTATGCATAGCTTTTCAATGTAGTTGAGATAGTATTTACCTTCATACACTAATTTAGCGAATTCCCTCATTCCGTAAATCTAGAACAGTACTTACCGACTAGATTCTATCTACTAACTACTACTTATAACCAGTATTACTAAGAATAAATTTCCTGATGAAATCTTATTTTTAAAAGCTACTACTTCCCAACATTTCAGTACAAAGTAAAACTAATGAACTGCGAAGAAAAAATAAATATCAAACAGATTTACACATACTTGCATAAAAACTTTTCCAATTAACAAATCATCTGGATCTTTAAATGTTGTACTAAAGATAACTGTAACTCGATCAGCTAATGCTTGTACATACCTATTGGGAAAAAGATGAACAATAAATACAATAAAATATGTAAGTTTAATGCATATAACCGTGTTACCCAAAAATAGGGGTGGCTAGATTAGTGATTGAAAAAATTTGGATTCTAACAAGTAGGTTACATGTTCAAACGGTGAGATTCACCTTTTCTTTGATTTGGGAAAGCTGTACACTGTCATTAGCCCTCACATATCCGAGCATAAATATAACAAATTACACAAGAGCATGGAGTGTCAGGTCAACGAATTTAAGCTAAACACAATTATAATTAAGTATTTTGCTGTAAAACAGTAAAAGACTTTGATTATCATAGGTAATTAAGGAAAAAACTAAACATACTACTCATTCCCTTAGTTAGATGAAACAGATACATCCAAAAGAATAACTTACATTGTTTCATCGTCTCTATAATGTATCACCGCCCTCTTAGGACACGAATCCGCGTTAGATTTCATTTGATATTCGAAAAACTTCTCAAAAACAGCTGCCATACAATTTCTTTTTAAAAGACCACATTTGTGAGCTAATTGATTATGATCAGAAGGTAGTTTTTCTAAATCTATGCATAAGGTTACACTCTGATTGGGCTCTGCTGAAGAAAGAAATTCACCATACTCACGAGCCAATACCTTGAGAAAAAACGGTCAAGATTGAAACGAATAATACTACCACCTGTTATAAGACCGATAAATGCTATGCTGAAAATATCTAACCGACAAAAGGCTGCAATAAATGATGACGATGACGACAGAAGTTTGTACAATGACTGGAAAATACTTCTTATGTATTAAGAATTACAAGTGTATAGCATAGTTTGGTGATCTACATGAGTTTTTGCTGATAACCTAGAACTGCAAGCTACTTTGTTGTCACAGAGAACTCAATTACGAATCCTGGTATGAAAAGCCCTTAAATAGACCGAGATTTCAAAAGTATTGTGAAGACCAATTATATAGCTAGGCTTATAATTCACTCAATTTATTTAGTCACAGATAATTTCATTTTATTTCACGTTCAAAGAGTGTGGTGGTCAGGACATATGTTACAGACGTTTGGCCACTGTCCTCCACAACGGGAGATTTGCTAGTGCAGAATTGGGTTGGAAGAAAGTTGAGAGTATCCAAACCAAGATATGGCATTAGTCCATCAGGTCATTGACCAGTGGTTAGACTCATTGTCAGTAGAATGCGTCATTTCATTTATTTGTGTTAGACTCATATTGGTAGAGCCATAGCACCTAGTTAAGGTCCGTGCGATAACAGGGACTAATTGCTGGAAACTTGGGTGACATGTCTCAGAATAGTTCACAATAGAGAGGAAAAATCCTATCTTTTTCATTCTCTCGATCTTAAATTTTACTGTCCTACCATATATGCATTTTCATTGTCTTTTTGAACCCTGTTTTCAACGCTTAATCTTTCCATCATCATTACCATTACAATATTCTGGTCTCTTTCACCATACATCTTTTAATTTCATCTTGTCGTGCTAATGAGATATGACAATTTCGCTCAGTGTACATTTATACCAGGTTATATGTTGATGTCGGCTGATTGAATGAATCTCATCAAAGACTAAATAACAATTGTATACACGAAACCATAAACATGATGTATAAACTGTCTGATTTGCACTATATGAGTATCAAACATCTGAAAGATATTTACTTTTACTGCGACCACCTAAATTGGTGTTAGTTATGCTTCTCAAGTATTAATGTTTTAAAAGTCGAAAATAGAAGAAATATACTGGTTATATAAAACACGAAGTCAATCACTTTGACAGAGAGTAAGTAAAAAAGACTAGGGAAAGCGAACATCAAAGTGCAGACCAAAAAGGAATTTCCTGTTTTCTACTTCTGTTAAGGAGAAAAGTTACGTGCTGTCACTGCAGCTGGAATTATGAACCATGATCTACTATTCAAACGACGAAGATATGAGTTACGCTATTTCACGTCTGTCTGAGACAGTGATACCGACACTTTTTGGAGGAAGTTTTTGAGTGTCGGATTTACAAAAGAATGGTTTGTTAAACAATTGAAAGCCTAAACTATCACTAATCGGCGATATACATCGCTAAGTTAATGACTTTTATGTGCAATACCTGTGTACAATGAAAAGGTGTCTACAAAAATCGACACCATCTCTATTGAGGTTAGTTTCTTAAAATGTCCAGTATCTAATAGTATACAGAAGCTTTTGAATGTGGATGTGAGTCCTTTATTCATTTTAGGTTGGTGGAGGGATTAAATGAAGTGACAAGATGCTCTATCAATAATAAATACGATTTGCTACGATTCATTTAAAAGGAAAGCCGATAGTTCATCACCTGATTGTGGATCGAACATGGAGAATCTATACTTTACTAAGTTCTGAAGCTGTAGAATTAGCTTTAACTGACTTAGAGTGTGAGACTAACGAAGATAAAATAATCACACACGGTCTGTCTAATATGTATTGCTGAGTGTTTAAAGCAGCCAAAACTTATAGCTTGGTTTACATTTTATAAATAAGTGTTCTTGATAGGTAGTCCTGAGATGTTTGCAGCACATTTCATCGATTTTACAAGTAGAGTGATATGAACAGTGATATGAAATGTTATGCGTTAAGATCAACGTTTTTGATTTGTCAGAGACGAAACGAGGAAGAACAGAGTGAAAGGTAAATCAAACAAATTTCATACCATTGAAAATTCGTTCCTGAAGACTCCATGACACTTCAACTTACGATGTGCATGTTTGAATCTACTGAAGGGTTTCTTTATGACACTACTCTGGAGAGTCAGTTTTAAACGTTAAATGTTCAGACCACTACGTTATTATCTAAGACGATTTATGGTCTTTAAGTGTCCAATAAACTGTAACTAAACCAAAAGACAATCGACCATTTAAAATCTGCCTACCTTAAACATATATACAAAAGTTAAAGGTGACAAATCACTAAATAATCCTACTTTTAAGGTAAAGTACGCTTGACGTTTTTACAGAAGGTGCCCGACAGATTATGTAACCTCCTTGACAAACTATCATTACAATCTTGAGGGAAAGTCAAATAGATATTACTGGCGGAAACTGATTTTAATGGGATATCCCGCATAAATTCGTATTACTAGAAGACCACAAGACCCTTCATCCGATATCATAACGGAAAAATAAACTTTTATTATCAGAATTAGTGGACTAAGTGGCAAACATATGAAATCAGAAGCAGAAAGGAAGGTATACTAAAAGTCGATCTCCTAACAAATATTCATATTTACATACTAAAGTAATGTTAACAAATCAGGAATGAACAAAAAATCAATCATTCGGAACTTATAAACATATAATGTATAGTTTTCAAGTGGGCTACTTACTTCATTTACCCCGTGTTCTTTCAGTTCATGAAAGAATTTAATGAATATACTGACAAGTATCTTTTTCTTATCATTATTTGGATTACTTATGGTGTAAACAATACTATCGAAGTCCGCAACGGTGTAATCAATTTTATCATATCTGGATCTAAACGTGTCAAAGCTTTAAATTAATTGTGATTTTACTCCTCTTTTGCCTGTTCAAATCTCGTGATTAGAATTTCTTCTACAGCTCTGTTACAAACTTCCAAAATGATCATCGGTAGCAATTGCTATAATAATCCCGCTGGGTTTATGTAAAATAATTTAAATGGTTCCAATTGCACTCCGACGGAATAAAAGATAGTCGTTGTTTTTTTCGTACTAATACATATCTTGGACAAAGTTCGGTCCCTGAATACCCAATCTCTTTATATGAGCTAGTAAAATAATGAATATCTTTGCTTTCTAGCTTATATGCTTCAAACGTTGTTTCTCAGAGCTAATTTTTCCTTGTATGATTCAAGTTCAGAAGGAAATATATCCGAATCCTTTTGAAGATTCCTTAAGGGAATAAGTTATCAAACTAATTAGACAATAATTTAACCGAAAAACCTATAATAAATGCTCTGTACTACTAATCCATAGCAGACGTTAATTCTTGTGAAGAAGCTAGAAAAATCCCTCTCTATCCTCCATACAATTCCAGGATATTTTGCTGTTAGTCTGACAGAGGTTTATAGTTCTCAAGATATCACTTTTAACCTCAATTCTTGGTGTAGGTATGAAGTGAAGGCAGAGACGTTCCACTTATTCCACGCTTGTCAACATTTGAGTCCAGCCTAAAAGTAAGTCTCCCTCATTACGGTCCTTTACCATCATATAGGCCCCACACTTGTTCGCGCTACCCTCTTCTCATTAAGTCATCGGACGATATGCTTAACGGAAATTTCAAACTGGAACATGAAAATTATCTGTTGGTAGGTATAGACTACTTGGTTGGCATAAGCGAGATGATATCAATCGATGGTTAGAGACCTTGAATAACATGGCTCAAAAACGTTTGCAATGGCTGTCCACTCTCCCCATTCTTATTTAACTTTGTCGTTGACATGCTTTTAGAGATAACATTTTCATCAACTGAATCTCCAGGAGTTGAATAGCTATTTAAAAAGGAGAGTGGTATTTTTCCTCGTTGAGTAAATTCTATTGTTTTGATCGTTATTAACGTATCAAGACTACTGTTTATACTTTGATTGAATTTCTTTCAGTTAAAGTATTCGTTCAGAGCATCATTTTTTGGTCTCTAAAATAGTTTATCGTCGGTACTCTAGAGTACCTTGTTTTTCTCTATTGTATCCGTTAGCACTTTGATCCTAACTATTTACAATTTTTATATTTTTTTGGTCAAAGTTCACTCTATTCCCCTCAAATGACTGGAAGGTGCAACAAAAGCATTTGCCAGCGTTCAGGCCGTTGATATCACGTCGACAGCGGCATGCAGTGCGATGAGTGCAAAGGTTGGTACCACGAAGTTTGCACGAATCTAACACCTGCAGCTTTTAAGCGATTCAGTAAGAATGGATGCATATGGCTATGTCGACAGTGCTGTTTGGATGCAAATAGCCTGTTGACCGAGGCCATCTCAATAGTAAATGCCGCAAAAAAGTGTCTCGGCAAGCGCGGTCGGGACACATCAGTCAGAACTCGATCTGTCGACACGCAGATTGACATAAGGCAGGCCCAAGTCAGTCCAAAAAATGCTGACCCACACTGTCCAAAGGAGGAAGGACAGCATCCAAAGAGGTCTGTCACAACCAGAAACTCTAGAAAAAAGTCGCTTCTGTCCCTTGTATCAAAAATGGTACCCAAAAGGGAACTTCCGGAACCCAAAATCGCAAGGCTCGATCGGTTTCCAGCGCGAAAGATGACCCAACCTCTCAAGTCGTCCTGAACCTTCCAGAATCCCACAGTAGGCCTGACGCGACTCCAAAGAACGTTGATGATTGGGTACGGGTTGTAAGGAAAAAACGGCAAAATGACGTAAAACGGAATCCTACCCCCACCAAAAAGGTCGAAAAGCCGAAGTCTGATCAGTCATTTTCCATAGAGTCGAGGAGAGTGACATCTCAGAACCGAAAGCTCGTTTTGAACACGACGTTGCGTTGATAAAACAATTACTCAACCAAGTTATGCCCCAAAACATTTCCGGAGTCACCTTGCTAAAGGTGTATAGACTAGGAAACCTGGCGCATCTGAAGCCTAATCAGTCTAGACTGCTCAAAGTCGTTTTGAAATCCCCAAACGAACGCGACTGAGTCTTAGAAAATGGACACAAATTAAAGGGTTCAGGAGTTTTTCTCCGTAAGAACTTACCGTTGGTGTGAAAAGACGGGAAGCCGAAAAAGAACTGCAGCTCAGATTAGACGCTGGAGAAAAAGACCTGAAAATTGTAAATTTTTGGGTTGTGAGGCTTCGACAGCGGATGATGCCGAAGCCAATCTGGGTGAAGCACGAGGCCATTTAAATAGGCTTCGAATATGTCATACCAATGCCCGGAGCTTACTCTATAAGCTACCGGAACTAGGTGTACAGATTGACTCAACTAAGCCAAACATAATCGCAGTCACAGAAACATGGCTGACGCCGTCTATAGATAGTAGGGAACTTGATTTCGAAGGTTTTACATTAGTAAGGGCCGATAGAATACAAACGCGTAAAGGAGGGGGAGTAGCTCTATTCATTAGGAATGCTATTCCATTCACCATTATCGACAGTGTATCCCATGAGAGTGGGACGTATGAATTAATTAGCTGCCGCCTGAAATGCAAGGGACAAGAGTTGCTGCTTAGTTTGATCTATCGCAGTCCAAGCTGTGAGGTAAACGAGGTCCTGCTAAGCAGTCTCAACACTTTATCACGAAGTGATCGATGTCTAATCCTAGGGGACTTTAATGCACCTATGGTGGACTGGGGAAATCTGAGGACTGAATCGTCAGCGAATTCCTTCGAACAGGAACTAGTTGATGCAGTAATCACATGTGCCCTAGTGAACACGTGAAGGAAGCAACTAGGTACGACCCGGGTTCTGCATCATCCTTACTAGATCTTATATTGACTCATTATGAGGATGGTGTTGCAAACCTGGATTACATGCCACCCCTAGGCAAAAGTGATCATGCAGTTTTAAGCTTTGACTTCCATATAACTGTCGATCACGAGCACGCCTCAGCTCAATCCAGACCTAACGTCTGGAAAGCAAACATACCAGACATCATGAAATCAGCATCATCAGTAGATTGAAAAATAGACCCATTGTCATCAATCAAAATGGCTTGGGACGTATTCCGGAATTTATACTTAAAAGTTACCACCCCCCACATCCCTTGGACTACACCTAGGGGGCCGAGAAACTCCCCGCCGTGGTTCAGTAGGAAGGTTCGCATCCTTCTCCGTAAAAGAAGGAAAATGTGGGATAGATTTAGGTTACTGGGGACTAACGAGGCAAAATCTCAGTATCAAAAGGCTCGAAACACCTGTGCCTCGATCCTCCGTAAGGCCAGAAAGCTGTACGAAGAGAAAATCGTTAAGGAATCCATAGAACGCCCTAAACGCTTGTATTCGTATATAAACCAAAGGACAAAAAGAAGAAGAAATGTTCCTTCACTATGGGGAGACAGTACTGCCACATCACTAGTGGAGGACGACTTTGGCAAAGCTCAAGTATTCTCTAAATACTTTAGCGATGTATACACCATAGAAACACCCTTCTCACCAGTCCATGAAAGTCCCTCCACACAAACACTGGACAGCGTGACCATTAAAGAACTCGATGTCTTTGGTCTGCTAGTTAAGCTTTACATAGGTAAATCCACTGGACCCGATGAACTGTATCTTAGGTTACTAAAGGAATTAGCTAACTTTGTTGCAAACCCTTTAAGTGTATGGTAAGCAGAGATGGATAGTGGCTAGCAATGGAATCCAGGACGCGCGTTTCGTCCTATTTGGGACTCGTCAGCTGGATGTGCCTGCATCTCAGAGTTGATGTTCACTCTGGGACTCGAACCCAGTACCCTCGCTTCAAACGCCATCACGTTATCCACTCGGCCACTGAGTCCTGGTAGCCACTTGCTTGTGCGATGGGGTGAAGTTTGAATTCACTTAGTATTGTTTGTTTGGATCATCCCATCGATGTGTTTAGGACTGCAACTGGTCAGTCTCTAATTGGCATATGTGCATACTGTGCGTATTGCCTCGATATACCTTAATTCACTCAGTGGCCGAGTGGATAACGTGATGGCGTTTGAAGCGAGGGTACTGGGTTCGAGTCCCAGAGTGAACATCAACTCTGAGATGCAGGCACATGCAGCTGACGAGTCCCAAATAGGACGAAACGCGCGTCCTGGATTTCATTGCTAGCCACTATCCATCTCTGCTTACCATGCTTGTGAATTAAGTCTATATCGAGGCAATACGCACAGTATGCACATATGCCAATTAGGGACTGACCAGTTGCAGTCCTAAACACATCGATGGGAAGATCCAAACAAACAATACTAAGTGAATTCCTTTAAGTGTATGTTTTAATCTATCCATAACCCAGGGTCGTCTACCAAAAGACTGGAAGAACGCCATAGTAAGTCCAGTCTTCAAAACAGGTACAAAACATAAGCCTGAGAATAACCGACCAATTAGCCTAACTAGTGTGGTTGTTAAAATCTTAGAAAAGATTATTCGGAAGGAACTGTTAAAGCATCTCGATGAAAACCGGATCCTCTCGGAAAAGCAGCATGGTTTCAGAACAAGTTACTCTTGTCTCACAAACTTATTAGTCGCTCGTGAAAGCTGGTGCGCACTTAAGGACCAAAAGTTACCTATAGACGTAGCTTACATCGATTTCAGCAAAACTTTCGACAAAGTTCCGCATAACCGGTTGTTATATAAGCTAAGGAATGTCGGGATTGAAGGCAATCTATTGTTCTGGATAAAAGGCTTCCTAGTTGGGCGTCAACAAAGAGTACGGGTGAACTCCAAGTTGTCTAGCTGGGAAACTGTGCTTAGTGGAGTCCCCCAGGGTACAGTTTTGGGGCCAGTGTTATTCCTCCTGTACGTAAATGATCTCACTCGTCTACTATTGCCATCGGTCTTACTCTATGCTGACGGTGTCAAGTTATGGAGAGCGATAAAAAGCAAGGGCGATAGCTTAGAACTTCAAAATGACCTGGAGAGATTATCTGAATGGTCCCAAACCCGGCAATTGCCGATAAACACTTCCAAGTGTA